CGAGCTCGAAACTTCCAAAAAAATTACTACAATTCCAACTACATCCCAACGAAAACTACACAAATCTACAAAACACACTAACGCAAATTACTTGGAAATTACGGTAAATGCGGAAATTTCCATGGTTAATCTCATGTACATACACTGGTATATGTATAGATTTGAAGGCCCACCCTCAAGAATGAGAAGAAATTCTAGTAATTACGGTAATTACCTGGAAATTACGGTAATTACGGAAATTAGTAGAATTTCTTCTCATTTTTGAGGGTGGGCCTTCAAATCTAAACATATATCAGTGTATGTACATGATATAAAGTGTGGAAATTTCCGTATTTACCGTAATGTCTTTAGGATTGTGGAGCTGATTTCTGAAATTTCCTAGATGTTCTGTTGGTTGGTATGTTAAAATATGGTTATTTCTGAGAATTTACTTTTTCAGTTAATGGCGATTTCGGAAATTACAAGGAAATTTCTGTTGGCACAGCTGTGTGTCTTTCGATATTTTGTTAGAAATTCGGTATTTTCTGAAATTTACTTTTTCGGAAATCTGAACATACCTCTACTTATGGACTTATCCAAAAACTCCAAATTAATCCCACAAAGATAAATCTTAGTAGGTGCTGACTAATACTACCAATTATACCAAGACTTTGGCGGTTTCAACTTTTAATAGTCACCTATATCATCAATGTGAGATGTTCTTCTTTTAATATAGATATTCTTACAAGAAATGTAGCACAAAACCCATACCCATGATACAAACCACTGTAGTCATGACACAAGCGGCCCTATTCGTAGTCCTATGTATCACAGTTACCGTATCCAAATGACCACCTTCATGTTTCAAAATACGATAACTATCATCATGTATGCCACGACAGTGGTACATCGTACTATGACTATACTAAGTTGTACCATGACTATGGTACTTTGTACTATGGCTATGGTCATTTGTACAATGACTGTCGTACTTTATACTATGGGTATAGTCGTTTGTACTATCACCATGGTACTTAGTACTATGACTGTGGTACTTTGTAATATGACCATGGTACTTTGTACGATGATTGTGGTACTTTGTACAATCACCATGGTACTTAGTACTATGACTGTAGTCATTTGTAGTATGACTGTGGTACTTTGTACTGTGAGTATGGTCATTTGTACGAAGCGTTACGGACAGACAGACAGACAGACACAGGTGAATTTCCGTTTCGAGACCCTAGCCTTTCAGTCTAGGGGACATAACACGATCAACGGATGGCAGAATCCACATGATCATAACGATAATACTAAGTTTAATTACAAATGTAGACAGTGATTAGTCGAGTTTCAAAAGATAAATAAATAACGTCTAGTAATAAATGAAACAAGAAAACAACATTTTGATTTCAGTTGGTTATTTGCCTTATTTGTTTACGCTTGTTACAAAAACTTCATAGCTACTCTGATATGCTTGATAAGATAGATGTGGGTGTTATTCTATCCAAACGCTCATCCACATGCACACTATATATGCAAATCCACACTCGCACCCACACCCCGCCACTTTTGACTCACCTCATGCTGCCAGTGCGATAGAAGAACAGATAAATGTAAGAGCAGGAGATTTGATTTGCAAAACGTGCGGAGGATCTTTATGGGCAGTATTATGATGAGAGCTTGTTTACTTGCTTTTTCATTATGATAACGGACTCTGATAGGTTTTCAGAGAATAAAACACATAATCAATTGGGATAGATTTAGTCCGTAGTTTTAAAAATCAACAGAAGCCTTGATGAAATACAGAGTATATGATTTATTCTAGCACACTGAGAAGTACTTTTGAACTTCTGATGATGCACGTTCATAGTACTACTACTACATTAATTTTTTCACTTTTACTCATATAACACCCCATTGTCATTGTATATGGCCTTGTAAAAAATGAAACGTTACATATTCTGAAAATACTTCAGTTCAAATTGCATAAAACTAGACGCAAGAATGAAAAAAAGAATACTGAGAGGTTCATCTGTTTTGGCGCATCGGTTCAATTATTATGGAACATTTCTTGAATTTCTCACATACTTTCAGAAAGAGAAAATACATATTATCTAATTATCAAATTTGAAATGGATTCGACTGGAACTGTGTTCGATCCTGCAGCATTTCAGGCTTACACTGAACTGCGAAGGATTGCCAGTGAATATCACCTCGAAGATGAGCTTGAAGTTCCACAATTAGTAGTAGTTGGTGAAACATCTGCGGGAAAATCTATGCTTGTCCAGAACTTTCTTCGGTTTCCATGCTCATTCACTGCCCATGACATAGCGACTCGGTGCCCTGTTTCCTATCGTCTGGTTCACAACAGCACCCTTGCTGGAGGCGAGAAACGTGTTACTAAACCGCCAGGTGTTACTCATCCGGAAAAGTTGGTAGATCATCTGAAAATCGAAATGGAACGTATTGCGAAGGACGTAGCAAGTGGCTTCAGTAGTCATTGTTTTGAAATCGAAATTGAAAGCGCTGAATATACAGATTTTGAAATTGTAGACGTACCAGGTCTTGTCACAGGCAATCCGCAGGCTGATGTACGAGCCGCCGTCGAGGGCATCGTTGAAAATTACGTACGCAATCCACGTTTTTCAATAGTGTTACTCAAAGAAGCTGGTCAGCTTTTGCAGAATGCTACTGGTGCGCTGCGTATTCGCGAGTTGTGTACAGCTCCGCAGGGATTCGCTACTACACTTCCACCGCGTCCAGACTACTTAAACCATATGATTACTGTTCAAACAAAATTTGACTCATACTTGTCAATGAAAAACGGTACAGACGCCAACCAGAAGATCGAAAATTTACGCAGAGAGTTGGGAGAGACATACTTTGTTAATATGATATTCGATGGCTACTCGATGGCAGATCATTCATTTGAACAAAACGTTGAATACATCGCTAAGCTACCTGAGCTGGAACGGACGCAAGTTGATCATTGGATTGAAGAGTTGGATAAAGCAGCCGGGTCGCCACCGCAGGGTTTTCAAAAGTTTAACTCGACAGAGTATCGGCCTCTTATTGGCATTGACGTGGTGCGTCGTCAGATCCAACAACTTTGGCTTAGAGTAAGTACTGGAAATATTAAATGTGAATGTCTATCATTTACCACAAGTCGTCATCCCCAGATTCATCCCTAAATCATATCCCTATTTCTGGAGAATAAAAAGAATACTATCCCTGCTGGTGACCAAATATGAACTTTTTTGAATGTAAGATATGTCGTAACCATCATTAGTGAACATCATGTTCTACCTTTGCTGAAAACGTTTTTTGCCATCAAAGCCAGGTGGTGCCACAAAAACCACAGTACCAGAAAACAGATTCTGGTCACCATAATTCAAGAAAGCGACTCAATCATGTCTCTCTACGAGTTGTCAGGACTTATTTTTTCGGGATTTCTTTCTTTCAACAGGACTAATTCGTTTTCATGCTATTTTCAAACACTTGCAGTCACATCAATACCAACACTCCCTCATCATCACCATCACCATCCTTACACTCACGTTCACTCTCAACTGTACCCTCAAAAGCGTGGAATTTGCACCACAACACATACGGATTTATTGAAAAATCTAAATAAGTTCCAAAAAGTTAAGTCGTAGTACCTGCTGCTCTACTCATGGTTTCTCTCTATCTAATATCTCTCTGTCTGGTCACCAGAATCCTAGAAAGCGATTCAATCTTGTCTCTCTACTGGTATCTCTCTATTTGATAACTCTCTATCACAAGCTAATTAATCTTGTCTATCTACTGGTAGCCCTCTACCTGATATATGTCTACCTGGTCACCAGAATGTGTTTTCTGGTACTGTGGCTTTCGTGGCAACTCCTGGCTTTGATGGTAAAAACGTTTTGAGCAAGGTAGAACATGATGTTTAATCATGATGGATACGACATATCTTACATTCAAAAAACAAAAATCCCTAAATTGAAAAATCCCTAAATCAAAATCGCTATTTGTTCATCAGTAGGGATAATATTCTTTTTATTATCCACAAATAGGGATATAATTTAGGGATGAATATGGGGGTGACGATTTGTGATAAATGATAACCAATCAGTTTGGATACAGATACTGTGGTCGATATTTTATTCAGCGAGCCGTTTGTTCTGAAAGATAAACTGGTTCGATCAAATAGACCTCATTTAATTTCAAAATAGTAAAATTAGCTTCAAAATTTAACTAGCCTGGACAATATCTAGAATAATTCATTTGAAAGACCATAAAATCTAAAATATCAATATCCTTACAGCAAAAGTGAATAACGCCTAGGTGATACCAGGATGGCTGGAAGGATGAGTCTTTTTTCTAGGCATGATGGCACGAATAGTCTCACTTTTTGTTTCAAAATGCCCTCCCGTATGGCTAGTCTGAAATTCTTCATCATCCTAGGATCCCGCGTAGATAATGTAAATGACTGTTGTCCAAAGTTCTATCGTGACAATTGACTTGGCTTAATCTGGAAAACTTGAAAAGCAATATGGTATTTGTACTAAACCTCGTCAGAGAATAGTATCTGAGGTTGAATACAAATGCATCCTGATTAATTCGTATGAAAGAGTAGTAATGTTGGGGATGAGATTCGAACAAGCCTATTTTGTATTACTTATCCATCACTCACTCGACTGATTCACAAATGAAATATGATTAATATCGGATACCATTTTGACCTGCTGTTTGATTTATAAAACCGGGGAGGGGGGGATTTGGTCGGTTTTTCTTCTTTTTGTTGGCAATTTAAGGGTCCTCCGCTCCTAAAATTGAAATTTTCGACAAAATTATCGATTTGGACATTTATACATAGTTAGGTAGCTCATAGTCTCTACTTCTCAATGCAGCATGATTTAATGGTTTACGATGGGTTTGAGGGTTTTACAGCGACTTCTCTGAAGCATCAAACATCAAAAATAAAAGTAACTACCACTGCTACAGGTTCCGGCGAAGAAGATGATGATGTTTTGTACATGATACCTGATGGCTATCTTAGTGATTATTCTGACGATGATTTGATAACAGATGAATCAATATAGAGTGTTGAAGATGAAAGTGAGGAGGGTAATGTCTATGAGGCAGGCGGTCGTGACTAAGCACATACATACGAATTTCATTGTTTTTTTATACAATAAACTTAGAATAATTCATTCACTTCGTTTTGCTTACTCGGTATGAAAAAATCAAATGTTTTGTTTGATAATATCTTCTTTAAAGGACCAGTTTTTTTTATGCATATTAAATGCCGGTAAATTCAAAGATATTTTTCATGAGCCAGTGATTTTTGATAGTTTTTTTCCTGGAAGTAACGCTTACATGTGGGAAAAAGTACGTCACACATAGGGGTGTCACATTTTAATTTAAAAAAATTCATTAAATCGGGAAATAAATTTTTGAAAATTTGAATTTAAAATAAATTAAATTGTTTGAAATTCAAATTAGTTAAATTTTGAAAACTAGCAGATAAAAATAGTTTTTGACTTGATTGCTACTATTTAAAGTCAAATTTGAGTATGTTTCCTGTTTTCTAAAGTTAAAACTAGTCATTCTTCTATGAATTGTGCTATTAAATATATTTTTATGAGTATACCAGTATTCTGAAGAAGAAAGATGACGGATCCTGCATAATCTGTAGAGAAATTTTGACTATTATGAATAAATATTAACCTAAAATACTAGGTTTTTCTCTCATTTAGTATTTACTACTGCTAAAGTCACGTATTTCTCCCGTAGCAATCATGTGTATCCATCCAAACAATTTATTAAATTTAAAATTTAAATTTAAAAAAATTTATTAAATCAAGAAATAAATTTTCAAAAATTAAATTTAAATTTTTGTATCAGAAAAATTTTAATTTATTTTAAATTTAACTTGATAGAATTCAATTTAAAATTCAATTAACTTTTCATGAAGTTAAATTTAAATTAAATATACTGTAAATTGACACCCCTATCTATGGATACCATTTCCAGTGTTTCTCAATGTCCAAGAATGACATATATTCAAATCAATCAAAGTGAATTGAACATAGTCTGTAGAGTAACCGTTTACATCGATAAAAGAAAATTGCTCTATAGACTATGTCCACTTACTTTTGATTGATTTGAATATATGTCATTCTTGGATTTTGACAAACACTGGAAATGGTATGCATACTGTGGTCGGCACCGGAAAATTAAATGAAATTTGGCAGAGCGGACAATTAGAAAAAGGTTTGGTGCTAATCAGTTTGTACGAAACCTTTTTTCGACTTTTTTTTAAGAGGGTTTCTACGAAACCTCTTTTTTTGAATTGCTTTTGAAAGGTTTTGTACGAAACCATTGCTACGGAACCTTTTTTTAAAATTGTTTTGAAGAGGTTTTATGCGAAACCTATTTTCTGCGAAACCAAAAAAGGATCTTCCCGTGCATCGGCGGGAAGATCCTTTTTAGGTTCGGTAAAAAACGTTTTTTTTAGAGTGTAGACGCAGTTTCACTAAAGCTATATGAATTTAGTATCAAAATCATCAACTCGTTTTTCTGCAACGTTCTGTGTAGTTTTTAAATACTGCCTATGATGAAAAAAAATGGGCCGATTTGGCTACTTATGCGGCCCTGTCCTTTGGTATTGTTTTTACTGGAAAGTTTTCTTTTCCTATTATTTCCATAAAACAGCAGAGCAAAACTGAGAATTCAGCTGACTTTGGTATTTTCAAATGTACTCTTTCTCGTGGTCTGTAAATAATATTTTTGGAGAAGATGGTGTGCTCGAGATCCAAGTTTCAAAAATACGTCAAAAATCTACAACCTAGCTTCCAACAAATGCACTCAGCATGAAACAGAAAGCGCGATCGAAGTTTCGATTTTGCAACTAGGTAGAGAAGGACAATTATTTCTGATCAAAACAAAACAAACCTGCTCGAAAAACCTTTTGTTTTGATGAAGTTATGGGACTTTTACTGAAAGCACCCCCATATAGATCTGCTTCACGGTTAATTTTTATTTTTTGTGAAGCACATTTCTAAGCCAATAACTTTCTTACTACATGAGCTAGCGGGATCAACGAAAAGTCATTTTGTAGCGCGTGTTTTACTGCATCTCCTCTATAAAGACGAATTTTCAACCGTGTGTTTTGTTAAAGAAAAATTTATTATACAAATCGAGTCAGGACTACTGGCCCACCCCTTATGAGCGTGAGGGTGAGTTGTATATCCCTAGTTTTTGTTTTGTTTTTTGGTAGATGTCGAATCCAGCACAAAAAATCGTCCTTCTGATTGGTCCTCCAGGCAGTGGCAAAGGTACCTTGGGACACGCTGCTGCCGCCAAGTTGCCCAACGTTCTCCATATTTCATTCGGTGATTTTGTTCGTGATGAAATGCAAGACCCAAACAGTCGATTTGGCAAGAGTGTTTCCCCTTTCGTGCACAGAGGCGAGCTCATCCCGGACAATATCATGCTCGATATCTTCAGCCGTCGTCTCCAGCAACCCGATGCTTTGGCTTCGTCTACCATTCTTCTTGATGGTTTTCCTCGCACTCGGCATCAAGCCAAGGCCTTGAACAAAATGCTTACAGTTGATCGTGTCGTTCTCCTGCAGGCGCAAGAAGAGTTGTGCGTTGATCGTATCAATCATCGTCGAATTGATCCAGTCAGTCATCTCAGTTATCACACGCTACTGATTCCTGCACCGACTGCCGAAGTAGCAGCACGTCTCATTCGACGCGAAACTGATCTGGAGGAAAACAAAATCCGTGGTCGTCTTCAATTTTTCCAGCAGAATTTGGCTTCGATTCTGGCCGTTTTCCCTGGCAAGCTCTTTGCTCTCAATTCGGCGGTCAGTATCCAGGAAGAGTTGTCCGCGTTGCAGCAAATCCTGTCTGAGCCCATCGTCGTTGAGGCTCGCAAAGATCCGGATCCTTCATCAATGGCTGCCGATCCCAATTCGAACAACAAAGTTGCTAAACTATTGTGTGTTGTTTGCATGGACAAAGAAGCGGATGGAGTGGTCTTACCATGTGGTCATCTCTGCGGTTGTGAAGCCTGCTTGAAGATGTTGCTCAACAGTGGAGCCAAGTGTCCCATTTGTCGTGGACACATGAACTCGGTTGTCAAAGTATTCCAGAGTGGAGTTGTGGGAGAAGACATACAAGTAGAGCAAGAACATCCTGAGGTTGTGCCTGCACAGGTTGGTTGTTTGCATTTTTTTTGTGGTTGGGTTTTGAATTGTTCACTGCTACTGGATCGTTTACTTCAAATCATCTTTTTTTGTTTTTCATATTCATTCAGGATGAGGATGATGGAAATTGGTCCTTGGCACAGCAATCCCTGTCTGTTGCATTTGAGGGTACATCTTTGTCCTCCGCTCGCCCTGCTCTCTCCATAGCTCCAGCTGTCAACTGGGTCAATGATCAAGTCCCTGTCCCCATTGCCGTTTCCATTGCTATTCCGAACGTGACTCAGCGTTCACAAGTGGATATTTGTTGTGTCATTGATGTGAGTGGCTCTATGGGGGAAGATGCCAAATTCCAGGACCCGAAAGATGCCTCCAAATTTGTCAGTGAAGGTATGAACCAACTGGACATTGTCAAGCATTCGGTCAAGGCAGTCATTCACACATTGACTGATCAAGATCGTCTCAGTTTAGTGGCCTTTCATGATGACGCGCGTTCGGTCTTTACGCTTTCTGAAATGAATGAGGGTGGAAAGAGGCAAGCCATTGATGCTCTGGAGGCGTTGGAGCCACAAAACTCCACCAATATTTGGTATGATTCTTTTTTGTTTGTTTGTGTGAAATTGATATTCATATCTTTGTTTTTTTTGTTTTTGTTTGTTCCAGGGCGGGCCTGGAAGCTGGTCTTGAATCTCTTCGCACTGCTCGTGCGTCTCCACGACGTTGTTTCATTTTGATTCTCACGGATGGTCAACCCACGATCTCTCCTCCTGCTGGAGAGAATATGGCTTTGCGCTCTTATTTTGAAGCTCATGTTGGATTCACTTGCAGTGTCTCGACTTTCGGATTTGGATATGAACTCAAGAGCAAGATGCTATTGGATGTGGCCAGAGAAGGCAAAGGCACCTTTGCATTTATCCCTGATGCCAAAATTGTGGGTACTTGTTTCGTGAATTTTGTGGCCAATGCTTGTACCAACCTAGCATTGGATGCCAAAGTGCATTTGGAACCACAAAATGGGGCTATTTTCCCTCCTGTATTGCATTCTTCCTTTCAGCAAGTGCCTTGGGGTTTGGTCTTTGATTTAGGACCACTGCACTTTGGTAGTCATCGAGATCTGATTGTACCTATGAAGATTCCCGTCGGTGTTCACGACCATCACCATTCGTTTCTCAAAGTCACTGTGGAATGGAACTCTGAAAACAACAACCACAAAGAATCCTTGATTGGTTCTGATTTCGTGGTGACTGCCGATGCATTAGCTGCTTTTGCGCGTATGTCCACTGTTCATTCGTTGGAACAAGTCATCGACAAGTGTGATACTATCGACCCAGCCGGACCTAAAATCTTGAAAACTCTGATTGGGCAGCTCATTGGATTGGAAGCGACAGCGAAAGATGCTCGTATTACAGCTTTGTTGAAAGGCGATTTGCAAGAAAGAATCAGCAAAGCCGTTTCTACTGTGGAACGATACAAACGATGGGGAGCGCACTATTTGCGAGCGATTTTGAGATCGCATGAATATCAAATGAGGACCAATTTCAGTATGTTTTTTGTTTGTGTTTATGTTTTTTTTTGGGGGGGGGGGCATTGATTTTCATTTTCTTTACTTGTTTTTGTTCTATCTCTTTCGCAGTGGACCCAGGTCTTCAAGTCTATGGCGGTGCTCTATTTTCCGAATTAGTTCATTCTGGTGGCGAGATTTTTAAAGGATTGCCTTTGAAAAAGTACTCTGACCGTGATGCCAACAGCCACAACAATAACAGTGACAACAATGTTATAGGTGCTGCTGTGGCTGATAATTATTATGCTGGTAACAGTGGAGGTTGCTTCAGTGGTGAATGTGTTGTGCAATGCAAAGGACAAGATGAAATGGTCAGCGAGAAACAGCTCTCTCAGGTTGGTGGTGATTTGTTTTTTGTTTGTTTGTCTTCATTGCATTGTATTGTGTTCTTTCTTTCTTCTCGAGGTTCGTTCTGGCGATTGTTTGCAAGTCGTTGATGCTGCTGGTCATGTTGGTTTTTCTCCCGTCCTGTGCTTGGCAGAATTTCAAGGGCGCTTTGATTTGCTTGTTTTGCCCTTTTCCCGTCTGGCTCTCACACCCACGCATCCTCTTCGAATGCAAGGTTCTTTCGTTCGACCTTGCGATATGTCATTCCCTATGAATGATGATCTGGCTACTCATCATACTGAGATTCCTTCCTCTTTGATTGTGGATCGTGTTTTCAATGTGGTCTTGCAGCATTCTCATGTTTTGCTTTGCATCAATGGCATGGAAGCGGTTACGTTGGGTCATGGATTTATGCAGGCCTTTCATCCGTTTTATTCAACGAAACAAGTGTTGAGGGCGTTAGAACAGAGACCAGGGTGGAAAAAAGGTCATGTCATCGTGGCTCCTCATCATCCTTTGCGAAATCAACATGAAGATTAAAATTCAAAAACCCAATTTGGGTGGGACAGATGACTGCTCTTTCTCTCCGAGTGTTTTTGTTGTTTTTTGTTGTGACAATGACATTATTATTGTGTTTTTTTTTGTTTTAATGGGTTCCATTTCCTTTTGGTTCAAAGGCTTGCATACCTGTGATGGCTTTGCCCAAGATCAAGGCGTAAATGTCCTGTGTGACAAAAGGGAAAAATAACAAAGAGAAAGATATGAAAAAAAAACGGTTTGATAATAATCATAATAATAATTAATATAATGAACAAAAATAACAAAAACAAAGAAAATAAGAAATGCATAGTCTTGAGGGTGTGAGTCATGAGCAACTACGATGCGTTTCCTTTTTGTTTATAATGTTTTATTTTTATTTTTAGATATTTATCTGTACATATATATATATATATATTCCATATAGAAGTAATTTAAAATAGAAAAAATATTCTAGCCAAACGTTTTTTTTTAGTGTTCTTTTGTGAAACACGATCTGAAAGGACTGTTGAAGTATATAGGGTAGAAATTTGGACTGGGGGGGGGGGGGGGGGGGGGGGGGGGGGGGGGGGGGGGGGGGGGGGGAGAGAGGGGGGNTTTAGTGGTCTTTTGTGAAACACGATCTGAAAGGACTGTTGTAGTATATAGGGGAGAAATTTGGTCTCACCCCCCCCCCTAGATCGTTGCAGAGAAATTAATTAATTAGCTAATTGGTTAATTAATTCTTTTCTCTGTTACGCTCTAAGATGGTTTCTAATTTTTCTGTCACAGTCTGTGATGGTTTGTTAATTCTCTGTCACGATCTGTGATGACTGGTGAATTCTTTGTCACAGTCTGTGATGGTTTGTGTTATCTCTGTCACGATTTGGGATGGTCTCTAAACTCTGTGTCAAGATTTCTGACGGTCTCTACCAACTCCATTGATCAAAATACAGACCCGGACTGAAAGGCTGCATATATGATTACAAAGAGTGGCAAAAAACCTACGAAGACTCACAGACCGTGGTAGACAGGTTCCAGCAAAGGAGTTCCATCATGTTTCACATTTTAATCCCACAGGGATTGCGCTAACAGCTTTTTTTTTACAGTGTAGATCTAAAATGAGATGTGAGGACGAGATAGTGATTTTTCTTAACTAGTTCTTCGTACGAATTGAGACATACCCACGCGCATGCATTCGAACTAACGTATATGGTGTCTGTGGACAAGTGAAATGATTACTGATGTCGCAGCTCTTTAAACTGATAGATAAGTCACTCTCATTCTCACTCTTCAAACAGAATATTTTTTATGTGATTCCGTTAAAAGCATTTTTTTTAATGTAATAAGAAGCAATATTCAATCTGTCCAAAAAAGCTTGTTAGCGCAGCCCCTTTGGAGCTAAAATGTGGAACTCACATATATCCCTTCGGCTTACTAAAATAAATCAAAATAATTCATCTAAAAAATCTACCCTGATTTCCACAACCTATAATTAGATCATTGCCTATTTTCACTTATGTCTGTAATTGAGTATTAATTGTTAGCTCGTATATTTAACAAGGGCAGAGACTGGTTACTATGGTCTGTAATGGTACCCTAAGCTAGTTACTATGGTCTGTAATGGACAAGCATTGCTTTTTTTGTGTGGTCTGTAATGGTACCCTAAGCTAGTTACTGTGGTCTGTAATGGACAAGCATTGCTTTTTCTGTGTGGTTTGTAATGGTACCCTAAGCTAGTTACTATGGTCTGTAATGGGCAAACATTGCTTTTTTTGTGTAGTCGGTAATTGAAAACGAAAGAAATAGCAGCCTAAATAGTCAAGCTCCTAATTAGCACAATGTTAAACTCATTAATGTCTGTAATGGGGAGGGGGGGGGTGGGGAGTCGCAAAAATCTCGCCTTTAAACTTACACTCACCATTTTCTTTGAAAATATATGTGAATTCCACAAAAAACAGGAGTGAATGAGAAAAGGAAAAAAACTCGCAATGTACTTTTGCTTTCTGCTCTTGAAGATATAAAAAACAAGGATTTTACATTTGATTGTAAGCGCACAGAGAAATGACTGCTGCTGTTACTCCTACTGTTTCATCAATCTTCCAGTGTGTACGTAATTTCCAATGGTACTGGAATTCTGCTGTTGATCCATGGTCATCAGCTACATTTGATGCATGGATGAAGTATACAGACATAGAAAATGAAATTATTGAAGATGCTCGTGTTTTACAGAAATCAGAAGTAGAAATTGATGGTAATTATATTAATTTAAAAGATCAAATACAGTTTAACAAACTTGATAAAAGCAAACAACGACCAATCAAGCGTGTTCAGTTACAGTCTGGTCGTACTAGCACCCATTTACGTGAAGATCGTTTTTCATTACCTATAATAACTCGCACAGCTCCATCGCCTTCATTATTGAGTTCAACAAAAAGCGATAATAGTATTCAATTATTGCGGGTGAGAAACGGTCCCGAATTTCCAAGTACTTACTACAAGATGAACGTAGGGAAAACCTCGAAAACATTTGCTGATGTTATTGACGAAGCAACTCGTGGTATGATTGAAGAAGGTGCAAAAATTGGTAAGAAACATGAAGCTGAGTGGTTGGCTAAACAGTTACGTTCTGTAAAACGTTTTGGTGGTGAACTGGTCGATGAACCGGGCAGCTGCTATTATTCGGTAGTCTATAGTAGGAAATTACCTCGTGAAATTGGCGAGATGTGCGTTTATCTTTACACAAAAGAATGCTTTTGGTATAAATTGATTAATTCTGTACTACGCAGTACGGATGGCTCTAATTTCCCACGTGAACAATTGCAAACACTTGGCCCATTCAGTTTTCTACTTGATGTATATTTAAAAACACTAGGCAAAAGAAACAACTTTACAGTTTTTCTTGGTGTTACATTAACAGAAGAGGAAAGAAAAGCATATATACCACCAGAGTACCCTTATTTGCACTTTAGCTCCTTCACATCAACAAGCCTCAATCGTAGCAAAGCAGAAGCGTTTGGTAACACATTATTTATTATCGATTTAGATCAGGAGTACGGTTATGATGGTGGTCCTATGCAATCTGGTGCAGATATCTCATTCCTTTCTGATTTTTCTGACGAGCAGGAAGTTTTAATTTGGCCGGCAACATCGTTTCGTGTAATAAAATATGAATATGATAGTATCAAAAATAAACATATTATTCATATGGAAGCGCAAGATATGGCCCCTTAATCTGGTGACTATTATACACTGGGATGCTACCATGGTTAGAACTGGAGATGAGGGTGCGGGAAAATGTGTGCAACGAAGAGATATACACCCACAACCAGTCTCTCTTTTTTTTGTTGAGAACCTATTCAGAATAGCAGTGGATTTCATTGTTTTCATCGATATTTTATATTTATTCTCAAAGGTTAATCGAATTTGTCATGCTCTGAAAGAAAAAAAGGAGTTTTATAGAACCATTTTAGGGGTTCTGGTATCGGGTAAAACGCAGAACCCTCGAAAAAGGTTCTGACTGAAAAAAGGTTCAGTAAAGAAATAACGAAACCATATGTGATTTTTCTTCAAAAAAGGTTCTGTCCTACGTATAAGGTGTTCCATGATTTAAATGGTTTACCGTTGAGATTTCCCTTATCTCTGTATCCATATTTCGATATTCTTATATCTATACGCTTACAGCTTTACCCTTAAACTATATCCTTATTACTGAATCTTATATTTATACCCTTGCAACTATACCCTTAAATCATATCCTTATATTTATACCCTTACAACTATACCCTTATTTGTATATTTCATAAAAAAGTGTGTTTCCGGGAAAACTTTAGAGCCTTTGCGATTTTGTCACTATCTGAAAACCTTTCAGAGTTTCCGAATATTGGTGTTCAAAGTCTTCTGAACCGAAACAAATAGTTACATTACTTTCTCACAAACCAGTATCAGAAATTGCAAAAATGTTTTAAAGCTCACTAACGTGAGAATACAATGAAGGATCTGAAAAATATCGGCAGTCACACAGATGTCGAACCCATGTCGTCTATCATAAAAACATCAAAATGACACATCGTTATTTCTCAAATACTGATATGTAACTTAGCCATTCGCTGACATCCACTTGAGGAATCTAAAAGAAAGGAAAAATTAATATTAGGTTTTTGGTTCTTTAATGTAACTCACCCTTTGAATAAAATTCATTCCAAGAACCTAAAAGAGAAAAAGATCGATATTTCTATGTAACGTTTTTATTCTTAAGTGAACCTTATTATTTGAATAAAATCTATTTGAAGAATCTAAAACAAACAATAAAAACTTAATATAATTTTCTAATTCTTGCATATAACTTACTGATTGGACAAAATGTATTGAAAGAATCTAAAAAAAGAGAAATTTTGATATTAAGTTTGTATTCTGAAATAAACTTACCGTTTGGATGCAATCAATTTGAAGAATTTCAAAAAAGGAGAAATTGCTATAGGTTTTTTATTGTTCGATCCTGTGATTTTAAGAAAAAATCAGTTATAATGATCATCTGAAACCAAAAGTTTGTGGTGTTCTCAATCACTACAACCTTTAAAAATTATTATGGTTATTTTTAGCCGTTTTTTCTTGAAATTTAATGAAACAAATTAGCTTTAGAGAGTAACCTTAATACTGCATCTTATAGCTATACCTCGTTATCCATGCCTTGATATCTACACCATTACAATTCTTTTATTTTCAGCATGCCTTTACGATTGCATTCTTATGTCTTGACCGTTTTATTTATATCATTATGCTAATAACCTTGTATGGATTTCCTTATGACTATACGATTATTTGTGTATTCGCGAAAGTATATGTTTAGAACTATATCCTCGGATAATATGGATTTCATTAAATCCTCTATCTTATTTGTAAGATGTGAAGTTCAACGACATGTGTGCATATTAGCTGCGTATGATATGGCTGAATAATTTCATAGTGTTACATATTTAATTGAATGGTTTCTTTTGTTGATGTGAACGAGTGTTTTACAACAAACACGATAGACAACGATAATATGATAACAAATCGTATATAGTTGACGCATACGATACTTAAAAATATTATTGGAGCTTCATTAGAGTCGTCGAATTGTGAGGATAGTCGTAATTTATCTCAAAGCAGTTGCATTACTAAATATGGATGATAGCATTATTTGCCTTTATAGTTATTTACCAGATTTAGCATATATTATCTAAGCGTTGAAGAAACTATGGTGATTTGTTTCAATCTTTTCCCGGGAATGACAAAGAGGTGAAAATGTAAAAACAAAAGTAAAATTACTTAAGAAGAAAAGAAAATTCACCCCATCTCAACGGTTCAAGTGCAAAAAGCATTCTCGAGAGATGAAAAAGTCGAACATTAGAGCAAAATAACGTATCATGAAGTAAAAGAAAGAAGAAAGTATGCAATAAAATAGTTCTACTGAATGTACCTTAAGTTACATTTGAAAAAATATTTTCTGCCGACATTTTGATAAAAGATTTCATAATAAATATATGTTGTATCATACTTTGTCTCTCAAAGCCTTTTATGGCAGCACGTTTGAACTGTGAAATTCTAAAGAATTGAGCAGAAATGAGAAGATATTTTACACTTCAGTATTTTTGGGTAGAGAATTTGTTTTTAGAATGGATCATTTTTTGACAGAACCTTTCAAGGTTCAGTATTATTGCACACTGAATTTTTTATGGTTCAGAATTCTTTTACCGAACCTTGTAAAGTTCAGCATCATGGGACAGAATCTGTCGGGTTACGTACCTTTGCCTAGAGAACATTTTATGGTTCGGTATTTTTTCACAGAATCTTAGTAGGTTCAGTGTCATTGTACAGAACCCTTTCGGTTCAGTATTCTTCAACACAAAACTTTTTATGGTTTTGAATCTGTTCCGGAAACCTTCAAAAGTTCAGTACTGTTGGACAGCACTATTAATAATTTCTTACTGTCATATAGCACTTGAAATGATTCCGCATGAGCTACAGAACCATAAAAGGAGTTCTTCAGAACTCCTTTTTTCTTTCAGAGCGGATGTACACATTATTTTTCTTACACTACTTGATGTCATAGAGCCAATTATAAAGAAGAAGCCATCTGATGAGACCCTCAAGAAACGTAGAAACGCATCCTGATTGCTACACAAAACACACCACATCCTCACCCAAATTGAAAAAAGACTAAATGTGCGGCAGCGTTACATTTTTCTTTGTGAATTTTTACGCGAAAAATAATCGCCGAAGGAAAATCCTTGTTACCGTTGAAAAGCTCGCTTCACGTTCTACAACATTGACTCTAGAAGTGTTTAAGCTGGACGTTGTCTTTCACGAGAAATTAGAACTTTAGAGAGAACTCTAAAAATCCAGAGTCCTTTTTATCACAGCACTACGCGACCATAAATTCGTTATGTAAGCTAAAGGCTTCAAACAAAACAAGTCACTTTTGTAGCATAAATAGAGTACGATGAGCTGCGTCGAATGTCGCTTGAATTAATTCTCTAGCCATCATAGTTTCCGAGATAACTCGACAAGCCTGCGCCAGAAGTGTTATAGCGTTACGCTTGGACACACAGTATTTATATTGATAATACCAAGGGGGAACAAACTGATTTCATGATTTCTAGTGATTTCAAGCGATTTCAACTATTGAAATCAGTTTCTTCCACCTTGGATTCATCTTCTAGCGCGATTCACAAGCACATGCGCCGCCAGTTTTTTGTTCTCAACTTTACGATGCCCATCGTTCCATTGCGATCTTCACTTCATACATTTTTCCAACCATCCGAGTGTTTAATTACTCAAACTACTCACAATATTTGCAGCAGTCTTCGTAAAAGTTTTTCTACAAGATTAGACTGTTTTCGATGTCATCTTTATTTAATGGAAAAAAAATAGAAAATTTCATGGGAAAGACTACAGCAAAACGATAGAAATCATAGGAACAAGAGAGATCACTACAGAGTTTTTTTTCAATGAATAGTGAGCTCAAGTATATCGCTTACTTAAAAAAACGACTTACTATACGTGATGTCAACATGCATCACATGAAAACTGCACGAATATGACAAAAATTGCCTTTCAACTATTATGTTCACTTCAAAACATATCTTGACGATTGACAATGAGCTCAATGATTATATGGTAAATAAATGTCTTCAATAAGAGTCTTGCCCGTGTATATTGTCGACATCGAAACTAAGCGCCACACTAAGGAAAATCATTAGGGATCATACGCTAGATAACTGTGCCCAATAAGAGTCTTCTTCATATATATTGCTTATCTCCTACTAAAGCTTCTAGACAGTTCGCATCCTCAAAGATTAAATGAAAAATAAATATTGTCAATAAGGGTCTTGCTCATCTACATTGCTGGCTATGCACTCAACCTTGGCAGTAGCTTGTATGATAAATGATTAGATGATAAACAAATACTTCCAAGAAAAGTCTTGTATGTGTACATTGTTGGTTTCGAACCCAACGTTCGAAGTAAGTGACGCGATTCAGCATCATAAGAAGACCGAACTCTTCCAAGCAAGAACTTGTTCTTGTATACTGCTGATTCCAAACAGAGGCACTCCAATACCCTACATCGTCAGAGATCATACGACAGCTGAATATTTCTAATTATATTCTTCTATGTATATTTTTCAGACTCAGAAACTTAGTTTCGCAGCAAATGACAGAATCAAGGATCATATAGCAATTTAATGTTTCCAATAAGAGTTTCCTACGTGTATATTTGTGTCTTGTAAAGAAAACCATTAAGTACGCAACATGATCAAGAATCACATGGAAAACAAATATTTCAAGTACACTTTGGTGAATGTATATTGTTATCGTAGAACCAAAGCTTAAAAGGAGATGACTTAATCAATGACTATGTCATGAAGGAATACATCAAAGTAGAGTCTTCTTCGTCAATATTGCTCACATCGAAGTTACGTCTGACAGTAGATAATATGATCAACGACCATGTGGTAATTGAAGACAACAGAGTAAATTCATTTTCGCGTACATGGCTCACTTGAGAATCGAGCGTTGCAGCCAGTACTGCCATCATAGATCATATGACAAATATATATATTCAAGTAGAGTTTTCTACTTGTATACTAGTATCTTCTAACAAAAGCTTGCCCTGAATGATGCAATCCAAAGATCGTATGATAAATAAATTCTTTCAAGAAGATTCTTCTTCCGATACATTCATCTTTTCT